TGCTTCCCCCCCCCCCAGACTAGAGCTGGTCTTCCAGACGTTGCTCTTTTGGCAGCCTACTCCTCCTTTGTAAACCTATCACCATGATTATTTTGCACTTCTTTGAGTGGCATGATTGTCTCCCTGTACGGGACATCTGTCGTGTCTGTGGCCGGCCAGCATATTCTGAATGCCCTTCCTATGTCTGAGGAACTTGTCACAGTATGCGGGCCCTCGCCAAGGCAGAAGTCAGCACTGGCTCTCCCAGCCCCTCGTGAGGGTAGCAGGCAGGGTCGGGACCAAGGCCGTGCCGTCTGCAGTAGCCCTGTGAGACTCAGGTTTAGAAGAGAGCAACAAGGGAAAGCCAGCGCCTGGTGGAATTGGGGTTTTGGCAAGCGTGGCGGTGGAGTTTGGCTTTTCAGGGCAGCCTCGTGGTGTGTCCGGCATTCCGTCCCCAGTGTTACTGGTGTGAGCAGCTGTGTCTGGGACCAAAAGTGGTGGAGTGGGGAGTTCGCCACAGGGGTCCCCTGGGGGCTCCCTCAGGGACAGGGCATGGGCCCCTCAGTTTTATCCTCCCCTCCTCCTCCCTACAGTGTGGAGGAGCCCAGGCTGGCCACAGCAGGAGGGAAGTCGAGTTTCTTTCTTCCCTTTAGGAAACCTCCTTTCAGGACCTGAGGAGAGGCTGGCTGGAAGGAAGATGCTGCAGTGGATGATGGGAAATTCTGCTTTTCCTGCACAAAACCAGGGACCCAGGGAAACCCCCTTCTGGTCTGAGCCCTGTAGAGAGTCTCCAATGAACACCAGTTCCCTGTCTCTTCAGTTCTCACTCTTCTTATCCACTTCTTCCTCTTCAAGACTGGGGTCTGGAGGGGTTTGGGGGTGTCCCATTCCCCCTCTCCTCCAGGAATGTCCTGACCTCCTGTGCTGACCAGACCAGAAGCCCTTTCTTCCACTGTGCCCTACGCCAGGCCTCCGCAGCCCTGTGTCCCTCTCCAGACTTAGGGTCTCATCCAGAGGGCAGGGTCAGCCCAGCTAAGGCTCTTGGCTGCAATTATTCTGCCACCTGGTGGCCAAGAGGAGCAGTGCACATCTCAACTCACACCGCCTGCAGTCCAACGCCCCTTCTGAAGAGCTCGCAGACGTCACCCAATGACCTACTCCTTCCCGGTACAGGTGGGGATGCTGAGGCCCTCAGAGGGGAAGGGTTGGCCAGTCAAAGGATCTGCCCAGGAACCCTCGGTATAGCCCCAGTCCAGGGGTCCTTGCAGTGGAACAGCCTAGAAAAGTGGTGGGAATTTGAGGCTCCCATTGAAACTGGAAGGCAGCAAGGAGTAGACTTCTGGCCACAGAGGAAACCTCTAGGGAAGGGACGGGCGATTCACGGAGCGAGCTACTGCTGCCACCGCAAACTGACTGCCAACGCGAACTGCTGACCAACCACTAAGACTAACCCTAACTAACTGCCAACACTAACCGCTAACACCACTACTAACAGCAGGTAAAACCCTGAGAGGCCGCTCGTTACTAGGCTGACAAAGATGTTATTAATAATAATAATGATGCAGAGAAACCATCACACTCACACTGCTTGTGCAAGAATACGCTGGACCGGCTTTTCTGGGAGGCAATTTGCCAATAAGAATTAAAAGACTTCTCATGTGCATTGCCTTGGCTCAAAAATTCTAGGTCTAGGAGTTTATTCTGAAGTTTTTATCTTTTTGAGGTGTACGTGAAGAATATACTGTATGCAAGAAGTTTGTCATCACAACTATTTATTGAAAAATTGGGAGCAACCTTCAACAGAAGATTCGTTAAATAATTATTGGCTAAATAAAGATTAGATAGATTTTACAAGTTAAGTAACAGAAAAAAGTTTTGCAAGTGTTCTGCAGCCACCATCCATTTACTATTTTTTAATAACAACTTTATTGAGATATACTTCACATGTCATAAATTTTACCCTTTTAAATTGTACAATTCAGTGGTTTTTAGTATATTCACAGTGTGCAATCATCACCACTATCTAATTTTAGAACATTTTATCACCTCTAAAAGAAACCCCAAACCGTCAGCAATCAGGCCCCATTTCCCTCTCCCCCCAGCCCATGGAAACTTCCAAGCCACTTTCTGTATCTATGGATTTGCCTGTTCTGGACATTTCATATATACAGAATCATACAGTATGTGGCCTTTTGTGTCTGGCTTCTTTCACTTAGTATGTTTTCAAGGTTCATCCACGTTGTAGCGTGTATCAGTACTTCATTCTTTTTTATTGTTGAATAATATTCCATCGTATGGATATATTTCATTTTGTTTTTCCATTCACTAATTGATGGACATTTGAGTTGTTTCCATCTTTTGGCAATTATGAATAATGCTGCTATGAATATTCATGTACAAGTTTTTTGTTTGGTTGGTTGGTTCGTTTTTGGTGAGGAAGGTTGGCCCTGGGCTAACATCCGTGCCCATCTTCCTCCACTTTGCCTGTGGGACACCGCCACAGCATGTAGTGTGTAGATCCGTGCCCAGGATCCGAACCCACCAACCCTGGGCCTCCAAAGCGGAGCATGTGAACTTAACCACTAGGCCACTGGGCCAGCCCCTGTACAAGTTTTTATATAGACATAAGTTTTCAATTCTCTTGGTTGTATACCTAGGACTGGATTTGCTGGATTATATGGTAACTCAATGTTGGACTTTTTAAGGAACTGCCAGACTTTTGCCAAAGCAACTGCACCATTTTACATTCCCACCAGCAATGTCTGAGAGTCTCAGTTTCTCCACATCCTTGTCAAACTTGTTATTGTCTATTTTTTTCATTTTAGCCATCCTAGTGGGTGTGAAATGGAATCTCATTATGGTTTGGATTTGTGTTTTCCCAATGATTGATGATACTGAACATCTTTTCATGTGCTTTTTGGTCATTTTTACATTGTGTAAATTTTAAGCATAAGAAACAAAATACAAATTTATAAATACAGTATGATCTCAAAGTGTTTCAAAAATGCAGAGGAAAAAATCTTTCAGGAAATATACAAAATATCAATGGTGGTTGTCTTTGGGTAATGAGATTATGGCTGATTTTTCTCTTCTTTTCTTTTTTGCTGTTGGAGATTAGCCCTGAACTGACATCCATTGCCAATCTTCCTCTTTTTGCTGAGGAAGATTGGCCCTCTGCTAACATCCATGCCCATCTTCCTCTACTTTATATGCGGGATGCCTGCCACAGCATGGTCTGACAAGCGGTGCATAGGGTCACACCCGGGATCCGAACCTGCGAACCCCAGGCTGCTGGAATGGAGCATGCACACTGCGCAACCAGGACAGCCCCTTTATTTTCTTTTTTATTCCCTTCTATGTTTCCCAAATGCCCTGCAATAAGTATGAATTACCTTTATGATCTGAGACTAAAGGAAAAAATGCCTGATAGGGTTTTTAGACTGTGGCCACACCTTGACATTAGTCTGACCAGGAGGGTGCTGGGCAGTTGGGCATCATGGCCAACAGTGTGACCCTGGGTTTCATATGGCGGCATCTCCTTTCGCTGAACCCCCGTGACTGCAAGGGAGGAGGCTGTCCATCAGAGGAGGCATGGCAGGGAAGGCTGGTGGAGCGGGGGAAGGCTTCCTGGAGGCCAGCGAATGCAGCTGAGTTTTGCAGGACAGATCTGCTGCGGGTAGACCAAGAATGGGAGAGGTTTCGTTCTGACCTGCGGTTCCATTTCTGCCTGTTCTCTGTACTGAAATCTCCCTCCACCCCATCGGTCAACAAACACGTCCCCAAGGACGGCGCCCAGTTCTCATGCTCCTCCATCCTGCAAAGGAGTAGGGTGGGGGAGATGGACCGTGATGATGTGTCACATCAGGGGCCTCACTCGGGTGGGGGGCAGCAGGCCAGGGGCACAAGAGGACACGCAATGGAGAAGACATGAGAGAAAATTGAGGACTCTCCATCCTAGAGAAATATAGGGAAAGGGATCCAAGCAATTTCCAAAAGAACAAACCCAAAAGGCTAACAGGCACAGGAAGAGATGCTCACTCACTAGTTATCAGAGAAATGCAAATTAAAACAACACGAGATGTCGCTTTACGCCCATCTGACTTGCGGACACTAAAAAGCTAGGTAATGCCAGGTGTTGGTGGAGCCGCTGGTGGGAGCGCAGATTTCGCAGGCACTCTGGGGCACAATCTGGCACTACTGTGTCTCAGTAAGGAAAGGCATAACTGATGACCCCGCACCACTAGCCCCGAGTATGTGTCCCAGAGAAAGGCTCACTCGCCCAGGTCCATGAGAGGACAGGCATGTGAATGTTCACCTGCAGGGGGGAGACAGGGCGGGTCACACGTGGGCAATGACACCATGTGGCACCATACGGCAGTCAAAGCAAGGGACCAGATGAGCACATGGCAACCCAGGTGGATCTCTTAAAAGCATAGTGCCGAGGGGAAAAACTTTAGAAGCAGGATGAGGTGTAGAACGACAGCATTTATGTAAATTAAAAGTACACACACACAAAACACTACATATCAGAGAAAAACAAATATTCACATTAAACACACTGGAATGTTTGCCTTTGGGAGGAGGGAAATGGGAGCAGAGGTGGAGACAAAAGAGAATAAATTTTATAAATAAATTAAACAAGAGCATCCTTGCACAGACAAATGATGGTGATGTAACGTGAACTGAGGAATGATAAACACACTTCTGGTGGAAATAATGGCTGTAGACCCCTCCCCTGCAGAGGCACGTGTACTCACTCAAATGGCGTCTATTCATTTACAAGTTTATTGGTTCCCCCGGGCTTGGGCTGTGGCCCAGACTCTCGGAGAAGGAACATGAGCAGAACAGACAGAGGAACCAAGGAAGGCAGAGGTAGACACACAGGGACCCAGGAGAAGAGTCAGGTGCAGGACGGAGAAGAAGGGCTGCCCTTGCCAGGGCTGGCAGCAGCTCGGGTGGGAGCGTGAACTGAGGGCCTCCATGGGGCGCTGGTCCCACTCCTCCAGAGGGTGGCGGCCGCATCGTAGCTTCCCAAGTTCAGATGTGGACTCCAGTCGCATGGTGTGGCCCGCCTAGCACACAGATGTCAGCACCTTCACCCGCGAGCGGGGAGGCATCGTCCACTTGGCCTGGGTCCTCCGGGCTGGCAGAAGCTCAGGGTCATGGCCATGCCATCTCCGTGCGATCTCAGCCCTCACCTCCAGGGACAAGGGGGAGGATGTTAGGAAGGTCCTACTCCTGCTTCTTTACTCAACCCCAGTGGGACTGAGGGTGCAGGGAGAGACCGTGGAGAAGAAACAGAGATAGGGGCTCCAGGGCAGGAGAAGCTCCAGTTGGCTACAGCCACTGCTGAGCACTGCCTCTGCAGGATACTACTTCCTCCTTCCTGCCAGTATTTGTGCCATTCCCTTTAGCTCCTTTCTCTCTTTTAGCACTGCCTGTGTCTGGGCCCTATTAAAGATGTTTATGGTGCTTTCTTGAGTTTCTGGACAGATAACTGCTCTGTCCTCCCCTAATAGTTTGGATCATCCCCTGCTCTGGGGTTCAGTCCTGCCCCTGCCCACTGAGCTGACTTGTCGCCACTGGGAACCTGTCCAGAGGACATGACCTGAAGGGAGAGAGGATTCCAAACTCTGTCTGAGGAACTGCGGTTGAGGGGACTGAGAGTAACTGATTTAAAAAAAGCAACTTGGGAGGAGCAGGGGGGCAATGTCTGTATCTTCACATCTCCAAGGGTCTGTTGGGGGCAGAGGGAGCTGAGAGGCTATGACCTGCCTAATAGAGCTGAACTTAGGCTGTGGTGAAAGACAAAAGGGAGACAGATTTCTGTTCAACATAAAGGTGAGCTGCCTGACAACAGAAAGAGCTATTCATAGGTAGTAAGCTCCCCATCACCAGAGGTATGTAACTATCTGGTTCCCAGCACTGCTTCCTGGGACAGATATCTTTACAACTCTCTGTGGAATTCCCTTTCCCAGGCCCCACCTGCCTCAGCCGGGGCTGTTCCTCACCCCTCCCAGTGTCCCCAGGGCCCATGAGCCACTACACTCAAATACTGCTGTCCTGTGTCTGCACCCAGATACCAGAAAAGGCTGTGTGAGACTCAGAGAGGCTGAGATGAGAGCGAAGAGTGTCAGAGGGGAGGGAGCCAGTCAGAGACAGAAGAGGCGGGGTGGGGGGGGCGATGCTCCACCGCTGGGGGACAGGCATGTGCACCCAAGTCTCCAGCAGAATGCAGAGCCCATGGCAAATACGTGGCCACCAGAGGGAGCCCGTGACTCTCCATGTACAGTGCAGGGCCTGGTTGTCTGGGGCACTGAATTAAATCCTTCCACCTCTCCCCACAAAGCAAGTCTGTCCCCAGGAGGAAATGCAAGTGCCTCCTGGGTGGGGTGTTTTAATTTGCTTCTCTCTGCCATCTTTCCATATTTCTACGTGTGCATCAAAACCATCTGTTCTGTCTCTTCATGTGTATGTCCTCCTCTGTTTGGTCTGCTGTTGTCTGTCTCTCTCTTCCAGGTGCTCTCACTCACTGTCCCAGCTCTGCTCTCCATCGTCCTCCATGGCTCTGCATCCCACTCAGTTTTGCTAGGTCCCTGTATGTCTACCTCTGACTTTCTTGGGTCCTCTCTCTCTTCTCTTTGCCTCTTCCAGAGCTAGCTTATTCTTTCTCCCACTCTCCCTTTTGTTCAATTTTAGGAACACAGGATTGGGGGATCCATTTAGTCCACCCCTGGATCCTTCCTCTGATCCCTGGAAGGCCTCTTCCACCTCCTGCTGAATGGACAGTACACTTGGCCTAGCCCAGAGGAGAGATGGACAAAGGGTGTTTACAGGAAGCATTCAGGTTCAGCTTGATCCAGGAGCTCAGGACAGACTCCCACAAAGGATCACAGGACCCAAGGTTTGACCTGAGCTAGGATTTACAAGGCCTGGGCAGGAGAGAGAGGGCCTTAGGACTGTGGGAGGGAAGGCTCGATGAGTAAGGTTAGATTGTCACATACCTCTTGGTTGAGGAAGCAGTACAGGATGGCAACAAGGAAGCCCTGTGGGGCCAAAGAGGAAGGACCCCATCAGAATAACTCGTTCTGGCCTCAAAGTCCCTCGACTACCTTTTCCCTCACCACCCCAGGCTGTGGCTGGGCCGGATCTTTGGGAAAAAGAAAGGCAGATGCATTCATGACTTACTATGTGCCAGGCATATTGTCTCATGTAATCGTCATAGCAAGCCTGCCAAGGCTGTACTGTTGGCCTCATTTTTCTGATTTTCTTTACTTCTATATCCCCCAGTATTGAGCATAGACCCTAACACTAAGGTGCTCAGTAAATGTTGAATAGATTGGATGGATGGATGGATGGATGGATGGATGGATGGATGGATGGATGCAAGGATGGATGGATGGGTAGATGGATGGATGGATGGATGGATGGATGGATGGATGGATGGGTAGATGGATGGATGGATGGATGGATGGATGGATGGATGGATGGATAGATGAGTGCAGGGTAGTTGAATGAATAGAGAGATGGATGGATGGAAGGTGGACAGACAGATGGATAGTTGAGTAGATGGATGAGTAGTTGGAAGGAAGAATCACCAGCCTCGTCGCCTTCCCCCTACAGTGAAGTCACCTGAGCCTGTGGGCAGCAGCACCCCCTCGTGCCCAAGGACACAGAGGAAAGGAGTGCCTGGGGGGCCCCACCTGGAAGGAGCCCAGTCCCAGCTCCAGGGGGAGGCGAATGCCCAGGCCAGCGCTGTCAGGCAGGAAGTTGAAGATGATGTAGTGAATTCCAAACAGTGGGATGAGGAGAAGGGTTGACTTGGAGAGCCGCCTGCAGGAGAGAACAAGCTTTAGGCTCCCACGGCTGGAATTAGAAACTCCATGTGCCCACTGCCTACCTTCACTTCCCGCCAGCTCCCCATATCGACTCTATGCACCAGCCACCCTGGAGAATCCATCATCCCCACATGCACCCTGGGCTTCCGTACTTCGGGCTCCTGGATCCTGCTGTTCCCCCTGCCAAATGCTCTTGTTTCAATTTATTCCAGTCAACATCTATGCATCTTTCAAAGTCTAGTTCAAAGACCACTGCCTCCAGGAAGTCTTCCCTGACCATACCGCACTCTTGCCACCCATCTAGAAAGGATCTCCTTCTGCAGGATCCTGTAGAAATTGATCCCAGCACTCATCAGCCTATTTGGTCTGGTAACTGACTGTTTGGAACCTCCATCCTCCCCATATTGTGATCTCCTGGAGGGCAAGGACCAGATCTATTCTCTCTGTGGGGACATGGGGAGGAGCACCGGGCCCAGATCATGAATGCCTGCTGATGAAACAGAACCACGCTGACTCTTGCTCCAGTGAGGACCCCAGAAGCCCCTAACACACACACACGTGCACACACGCACACATGCACGTCACCAGTACTGAGGCTGGGTGTGGGGGCTGCACTGGGCTGGCTCCATACACACACGCGTGCGCACACACGCGCACACACACACACACGCACACGCATGCACACACACACACACACCTTACCAGTACTGAGGCTGGGTGTGGGGGCTGCACTGGGCTGGCTCCAGTTTCCTCAGCAGGATACGGATAATATTGAGAAAAAGCCCAAAGTTCACCTGGAAATAGAGGTGCAGGAAGGTGGAAGGCAAGGGCCCAGGGGTGGCCCTGGAGGCCTGGGGTGGGGCCTCTTGGGGGACTAGAAATCGCAAATCGTTGAGACACAGGGATGTGCAGGTGGATGAATGTACAGATCATCCCTCTAGACCTTGTAGCCTAGAGACTGGGAGGTCCCACATGGAGCTCAGGGGCTCAGGGTCCCCCTCCCTCTCCAGTCCCAGGATCAAGGGTGAGAGGTCAGGCCTTGCCATCCTGCCTCCAGCACCCCCAGGGTCTTCTCTGGCACAAAGCAGATGGCCTCCACTTTGCACAATTTCTAAACTGGGGAAAAACGAGCACATTCACCAAGGTCACATAACCCAGTCCTGGCAGCCCTGTTCTAGTGGGGGCAGTTGGGGGGTCTCGGGGAGAGTGCTCCTTCTACAGCCCCCACCCCAGGCTCACTGCAGTAGGAGGTGATCTGCAGCCAGGGCACCAGGGCATCAGAACTCTGAGCTGGAAGGCCTGAGCACTGAGCCAGGCCACTGGCCTGGTTTTACCAAAGGGGCCTCACAGAACCTGTGGCAGAGCCAGGCTGGAACCCAGGTGTCCTGACTCCCAGCCTGGAGACGTGTTTCCTACTGTGTACGGCCCCTCAGTGGGCCCAGGGAGGTTGGCTGAATAAAGCAGAGGACACTGGCCCCACAGACTGACCCCGACAGAGAGGATGATGGGCCCTTTGATGATCCACCAGTAGGGGGAGCTGTCATCCAGGTCCCAGCACCTAGGGAGAGGAGGGCCAGGACTGAGGTGGGGGTGCCCGGAATGCAGTCGCCCTTTTCTGCAGTCACCCATGCACCCCCCTCCTCTCTTCTCTCTACCCACAACTCTCCAGACTCCTCTCTGTGGCATTCGAGCCTTCCAGCCTCCTGTCCCCTCCCCTCCCTTCCAACCTTCTCCCCTCAGTCCTTTAGACCCTCTTCCAAAGGGGGGTCCTAATGCATTCCGGGCTCACCCTGTCTCTCCAACTAGACGGATGAGCTTCTCGAAAATCAGTCTGTTTGCTGCCTTCTTGGTGGCCCCAACGCTTCCCCTGTTCCAGGAGGCCCCCACCTAGAGCCCCCCACCCCCTACCTCTCCCTGAGCCCCACAGTCCTGAGAATCTGAGCCCCCTCCTGCCCCAGGTCATGCCCCTTCTGTGCTGTCCACCGACTGCACTCCATGGGGACCCCAGACTCACGCAACATCCTCAAAGGCCAACTTGCAAGCCACCCACATGCCGGTGAAGAGCAGGGGAAGCCCTGTGGGGGTTCAGAGGAGACACGAGTGAGGGGTCTGCCTCCTCAGCTCAGAGACCTGCCTCGCCTCCCCCCACCACCACCAGCCCCACAGGCACTGTGAGGACAGGCCCAGGCGAGAGGTCAGAGGCTGGGGACCTGGCCCCATTCTCCAGCACTTGCTGTAGGACTACGGGCAGTCTCTTCCCCCTCTGGGCCTCGGGTCATCATCAGTGAGCTGAAGGACGTTTGTGTGAGCTCCCTGGGCATCCCCAGCCCTCCACATCTCCCGGTGCCCAGACCAGCCCTCGGTGCTCACCCCAGCCAGCGAGAACCAGCCACCAGAAGGCTCTCCTTGTGCTGGGCGATGTGGAAGCCAAGAGGCAGGTCAGGTAGACAGCTTCTGCCCACAGCCAGCTGAAGTTGGTCATGGTGGCAAAATGCGAGGTGGCCACAGAGACCTTGCACAGAACCTGCGGGCCAGGGGCCTGGGTGCTTCAGAGCATTGGAGCCCCACCCAAGACTCTCCAATCCCACTCAGGCACCCTCCACCTTAGGCTGCCCCAGAGTGGGTGAGGTAGTGTAATGTGGTGGTTAAGGGCACAGACTTGGGATGCGGACAGCCTGGGGTGAAATTTACATCAATTAGCTGGGTGACCTCCCCACGCCTTAGCTTAAAAGGAAAACCTTCCAATACCTATCTCTTGGCCTCATCATAAGGATTAACAGAAACTCTGCGTATGAATTGCTACTTTTTTCACATTCACCCCACCCTTCCTGAGCTCAAGTCAATCCCTAGAGCTTGGATACGGAGCACCGCTTATGCGCATGGCTCCGTCCTGCAAACACACACACACACACACACACACACACACACACACACACACACACGCCCAGTCATTCACTCATTCACTGCGTGACTCTCCCGTCTGCCAGGGTGAGAAGCACCCCCACTGAGCTCAGATGGCCCACGCTTGGTCCCAGTCTCACCACTAAGCAGCTAGGTGACATTGCCAATTGACCCTCATCTACAAATGGGACTAAAATGAAAATATATGTAGGAAATAAAAGGTGATAATGCACGTAAAGCATTTAGTGTATTGCCTGGCACATAAGTGCTCCATATATATATTATTACTTCTTTCATTCATTCATTAAGGTCATCTATTGGTTTGTTCATTCATTTACCCGTTCATTTCCAGCATAATTTTAGAGTTCCTGGTAAGTTCCTCCACACTCAGCCTAACTTCCTTTTATTTTCGGTCTCCTCTCATCCTCCTACCTCTCACCCCAATATGACTTCCCAGTTTCTTGGACACGCCCCAGGTTCTCCTGTCTGGGAGAGTGTGTTCACCTGGGTCCCTCCATTTAACATGCCCTCTCTCCCCCCTCTCCATGTCGCTATTGTCCACCCAGCTCTGAAGCCAGCTCCCTGGAGCCGTCTCTTGTTCTCTCCCAGCTCTCAGCTCCCTCCACCTGGTGGTCCCATAAGCTGGTGCATTCTTCCCCCTAGGCACCCTGGGCCTTCTTGAGGGAGGGACCACGCTCTGCCCAGCCCCTCACATACCCACACCCAGCCACAGATACACAAGTGCTCAGAGGAGGTATGGAATGAAAAGGCTAGGTGGAGTGAAATGTGGTCCAGGTTGGAATATGGAACGGGGCATGGAAAGACGAATACAGAAGATGGAGTGCAGAGTGGACCAGGGAAATAACGTGGATTGGCGCCATGGTCCAGAAAATGGCGTGAGGATTTAGGACCTGACCCAGGAGAGGATCAGGAAGAGGGAGGGGAGATTTCCAGTTCTGTGATTGGCAATGCCGAAGCCCCAGGGTCAGCCCACAGGCTGAGTAGGCTCAGCAGGTGCATCTAAATCTCTAATCCAGCCTCCTTTCCCCCCACCCCACCCCCGCCCCCAACCGTGGCTGTTACAGTGGAGAAGCTGCAGTGGTCGGTGTTCTCGCCATGAAAGAGGGCAGCATCCTTCAGGAACACAGCTCCCGCCTTGAGGATAAAGGTGGTGAACAGCTGGGTGTGGATGTAGTTCCGGGGACAGCGGAGCCTCCTGCAGAGGGGAGGGGGGTGAAGAACGGGAGGCAAGGTGGGAGAGGGGCTTGTCATGTGCCTACGGCAGGCTGGGGCATGCTGAGCAGGGCGGGAGGGGAATTGACTTGGAATGAACTGGGTTGGATTAGATGGAGCAGAATTTGAGGGTTCAGTTTTAGCCTTGCGGAACAGCTGACCAACCTCTGCCCTGGGCTCAGTGTAGGTGAGAGGCAGAGAATAGCAGTCCCTGCCTTCAGGGACCTCATAGTCTGGGGGACAGAGGCTGAAATGTCAGGGTCGTGCCCAGGGGAGCCCCCCGGGTGATCAGAGAGATGAGGCTCATCCACATGAGACAGAGAACAGCACAGGCCAGGTTGTGGGGCTCAAACTCTGAAGTCTGGGGGGCCTTCAGAGGAGTAATGGTCAAAGAGTTGAAACAGTCAAGAAGGGCTGCATGGAAGAGGCAACGAGGATTCTTAAAGCAGGTGGGAGCTGGGCTTTGCACTTTGACAGATATGAAGGCATTGAGAAGAAAGGAGGCAGTCATTCCAAGCAAATAGAGTATAAGTTATACATGAGCAAAGGCGTAGAAGTGGGAGCCTGGAGCGTGAAGAGATGGGTCCACACACGTGGAGAAAAGGAAAGGAAAAGTGAGAAACGGCCGTGGTGCCTAGACCTGGGAACCTCTTGAGTATCCAGGCAAGGAATCAGGCTTGGCGCTGCAGACAGTAGGGAGGCAAGGAAGGTCCTTGGGCAGGTAACGAGGATGGCAAACCTGAGAGCAACCAGGATGGCAATGGCCACGAAGAGGGCCACGCTGGAGATGCTGTGGCCCAGGGTGTAGATGATCTTCATGGTGGAAAAGTAAGATTTCTGGGGAGGGTGGAGATGGAGAAAGTCTCAGCAACTGTGCCCTTGGAGAAAGGGAGGCTTGCCAGTCGAGCAGGTGGAGCTCTCGGTTCTACCCCGAACCTCCCCACCTGGGGACAGTGGTGTCCGCGGGGACCATGGCAAGCTCCCTCCGGGAACTGAAGCCTTTGTTTACAGCCTGTCTTCCACCTGACCTGCTGGTGAGGGAGGGGATGGGGACAGGGAGCCAGACGCTTACCTCCCCCTGCTGCTCTGGGGGCAGGGAGAGGGAGCGGCAGAGACTAGGTGTCTCTGGAGAACAACAAAAGCTCTAGAGGAAATCGGGCTTGTTTATTGACATCCAGCTTGCTCACTGTCTTTGGAACAAGATGTCCCCAACTAAAGGGGACAGCCACAGGCAGTCGCAAGAAACAGCTCTTTCCATGACCAAGTATTTGGATAAATCAAAGTCCAGCCTGGACCCCAGAGACGGAGACCGAGGGCATAGGCCGAGGGATGGGGGCAGGGGCCCAGCTCCCTTGGGGAACGCAGGCAGTCGCCCCCCTCTCTGACTCAGTCTTTTCATCTGAAAAGTGGTCAGACTCATGCTTTACCTCTCAGGGCTGAGGGGAAAGAGATACGGGATTGTGCGTGTGGAAGCACCTTGCAAAGACCCTGCTCCACTCAGAAGTGTAGGGTGTGCCGGCTAGATTAGGGGTCACTGCGTTCACGTCTGGGCTTGAGTCTCCCTCACTCGCCCACATCACAGCCGTGCACACTGCTCCACAGACTGAGGACCAGAGAAGGGAAGGAGCTTGCCCAGGACCACTAGGACCCTTTGTTTCACTGGAGCCACTCAAAGCTTCCTGCCCTGGAGGCCTGGGCACAGAGAGGGGACTGCAAGGAGACGGTGGCCAGCACATCTCCCACCCTCCCCTCTGCCTCCTCTCTCCCTCCTAGCAATGTGGCCCACGTGTCACCCTTGAGGAAATTAGCAAAAGTCCCCCTCTCTTCCAGACACTGCCATCTTCTGGAAATCTGCTGTAATTAATATTCCAACTTGGCTACAATGGAAATGGCAGCCTCTACAGTTGTGCTGTCCACCACCCATACAACCATCCATGGCGGCCCTTCCTCCAAGACACCGGAGCCTCTTACCTCCTCAGTCAGCAGCTCCAGGGGCACAGGGCAGGCCACAGGGTAAGGCGGGAAGGGCTCAGACCAGCCAGTGATGGTACAATCCCGCTTCACAGCCCCTGGGAGGCAAGCAGAGGTGAGGAAGCAGAGATCTGGTTACAACAACTCCTCCCCTCTCCCCAGGAGGGGTGGGGAGCCTTGGCCCATCAAGTGACCATGGCACGGTCTGCACAGACAGCCCCTCTCAGTGGCAGAGAGGACAGCCTTCCCACCAGAGGCCTGGGTTCCAGGTCCAGCCTGCCTGGGACACATTCTGGGGCCTTCCTCTCCGGCCTCAGAGTCACCATTTGTTAAACAGAGAGAATCATTCCCTTGAGAGGCAGAGTAGTGAGTTGGGCCCCCAGTGTCCTAAGGGCAAGGGGGAGAACTAAGGCTTTCTCTGCCCCTGGAGGGGCCACCCCACACACCCAGGCCAGGGAGGTGAGCCAGAGCAGTGGGGTGCCCTTCCACCCTCCCCCAACTAGGCAGCTAGTAGCATCTTAGCAGTCAGACAGGCTCTGCCCCCATCCTGCTAACATCCAGAGAACATTCACTGGGTGCCAGGCCTCAGGTCCAGCACTTTCATGCTCTGCTGTGAGGTTAATGTTCTTGGTCTCCCCAGGTCTCAGGTCAGGAGGCTGAGGGTCGGGGAGGTTGACTGACTTGCCCAAGGTCCCACCAAAAGAGAGGAAGTTGGTGTTCAAATCCAGGTCTGCCTGCCCTCGAAGCTAGAGATGTGTCTGCCATATTCTGGCACCACCAGATGAAACCACCTCCCGTCCCCTCCACCCCACCCCCAGAACCCTCACCTGGCTCGGAGCTGAAGTGAGAGAAGAAATCTGGGCAGGGGAGAGTCACCCACTCGCCAGAGCCTGCCATCGGCCAGCACAGCAGCCCATCCCAGGTCCTAGGACATCCTAGATAGAGATGGGAGCAGAGTAGACTCAGCCCAGGGGACAGGCCCTCCAACATTCTGATTGGTGAGGTTGGGGAGATCAAGGAATCTGAGAAGCCGCCTCCTCCCTCCTAAGCGCCATACCCAGAGTGGCGTTGGGCATCTCCTCTGCCACCTGGAGACACGCACTCTCCTCCTCTCTCAGCTGGGTGAGGAAGTCACACTCTGGGTGCACGTGGCCCAGAACCTGCAAGAGAGAGTTAATGATGAGCCCAGCCAGTAGGGTGCTCCTTCTGGGTTCTCTGGTCCAAACGACCTGAGGACAGAGACAAAGCCTGATTCATATCTGCACCCCTGCTCCCAAGCACGGGCCTGGCTCATGGCACTTACAGGTGTACTTGATGGAAGGAAGGAGGGAGGGAGGGAGGGAAGGAAGAAAAGAAGAGCTCCCCAACCTCACCACTCAGGAAGGAAGGAAGGAAGGAAGGTGGGCAGGAGGGAGGGAACGAGGGAGGGAAGGAGGGAGGGAAGGAAGGAAGGACAGAGGGAAGGAAAAGGAAGTGATAAATAAATGACAAGCCATGGGATATACTGGAGTATATGAGGAAGCCATTTGGTGTAAAACTAATTCAGCCTGACCTTGTTTTTCCAAAAGGGCCTGACATAGCCTGTTGAGCATGCATTGCACATTTGCTTTAAGTATTTACTATGTCCCAAAGACAAGAATGAAACCCTTAAAGATAGGGATGTAGCTTCCCCCACATTGGCATTTCTTTAAGGATAAGCATCTCTCCCTAAACTAAGGATTGATTGCTGACCTGCTGTGCTCACCTTGTGACAACCGACCTTCTATGTTCACTGATCTGCTGTGCTGGCAAAGCAATCTCGTGACTATTGTAAAAGGGATATTCCCGTCCTATGTGACGTATGCTCTTTGTTCCAAGAAGGTATATACCCACTCTGTACACCCCACTTCTTTGGAGTGTTTCCTTCCTTTGTGAAGGGACTCTCCTGGGCTATATGGTCCTTAGGGTTGGCTCATAATAAACTCACCCTAACTTTTGATTAATAGATTGTTTATGAATTATTTGCCTCGACAGAAGGAAGGAAGGAAGAAAGGACAGAGGGAAGGAAGGAAGGAGGAAGGAAGGAGAAAGGGCAGAGGGAAGGAAGGAAGGACAGAGGGAAGGAAGGAAGGAAGGAAGGAAAGAGGGAAGGAAAGTATGAAGGAAGGAGGGAGGGAGGTTTGGAGGGATGCTTCCCCTTTTCGTCTCATGGCAGTAAGTTGTGAGACACCTTACACAGGAGTCCTCAGAGAGCTCGTGGAGGTGGCTGACTCCATAACGTGTCCATGTGGTGGCCTCTCCTCCTTCCCTGTTTTCCTCCCGCACCTGCACTCCTGCCGCCTGGGAGCAATTCTGCGTAGAGCACCTTGGTAGGCAGAATAACTCACCCCCCCCCCCAAAAAAGGTCCACATCCTAATCCCTGAAACCTGTGAATGCGCTACCTTGCATGGCAAAAGAGACTTTGCAGATGTGATTACGTTAAAGATCTTGAGATGGGGAGATTATCTTAAAGATCTTGAGGAGGGGAGATTATCCGGGATTATCTGGGTGGACACGAGGGTCCTTATAACAGGGAGGCAGGAAAGTCAGAGTCAGAGAAGGAGATGTGATGATAGAAGCAGGGGTGTGTGTGCTGAGGGAAGTTGTAGTGTTGGGGTGTGTGTGAGAGAGAGAAAGTGTGATTTTCCCATGGGGTGCACACAGACGAGTGAGGAGGTTCCCCTCTCTGGGGAGGGGAGGGCAGCAGAAGTTACCTGTATTGTACCTTATGCCCAGCCCTTGACGTATCAGACCCCACTCAATGCACAACAGCCCTGGCAAGCAGATATTATTTCCTCTTTTACAAGAGACAAGGGAGGCTCAGGAGGGGTGAGGAACGCCCCCAGGTCACACAGCTAGGTTCACTGTGCAGGATTCAAGCCCTGCCCCTGGGGGCAGGTGTCTCACAGTGCTCGGGAGGCGTGGCCCCGGGGGTGGTGCCCCGCCCCCACAACAAGCCAGTGGAGGAAGAAGGAGACCTCAGTCCACGTGGGGCCTGGGAGCCCCCCGGGAGCAGGGGCTGCCCACCCAGCGCCTTGTGCCTGCCATCTTGGTCCCTGCATCACTCGCAGTAGCTCCTGGAGAACATGCTGGGAAATTGCAGCACATTCAGGGAGGGCCCCTGTCCTGGCGCCCCGTTCTCCAACAGTCTAGGCCTCCAAGCAATATTTGGTTGCCAAAAGCTTCTCCAACCCCAGGACATATCATAAGAGGAAGAGTCTCCTCAATCCGGAGAGGAGCAGCTGTTCTCCACTAACCACTCAGGCCACTCAGTCCTTGACCACAGCCTCTTAAAAGAGCCTCCCAGCAATCAAATGGGAGTGAGGCTCCAGGGGTCGTGGGGACAAGGAGGGGTCTGGAGATCTTGGAGGAGGAGTGTATGGAAGAAATGGGGGTGCACAGCTTAGAGAGACTTGGGATGTGAAGGGAAGGACCTGACTGCCTCCCAATCCAGAGGCACTGTCTTGGGGCAGACAGAGTCTCTGTGGCCCCCAAAGGGCACAGACAGGCCCTGGGGGAGACAACAGGGAGGTGAACTCAGCTCAGCCCCGGGAAGGAAATTTTAATAGTCAGAGCTACCCAGAGAGAAGCAGACTGCCTGGGAAGGGAAGGGAAGGAGGGAGCCACGGGTATCAGTTGTCCAAGCCACGGCCTGCCGCCTGCTTGGTAGAGAGAGATCCTACACTGGGGAAGGGCAGCAGGGTCCCCACCAGGCTCCAGCCGGACCCTCGTATGGCCCTGAGGCTCCCAGACCTGGAGCCCAGCGGGAGAGGCAGGAAGGTCTGGGCTGGCTACTCACAATGGGTAACAGGCTCAGCAAGCAGAGGATGCAGGCACCCCACGCCCTGCTGTCCATGGCGGGGGCTCGGCAGTGGCTCCTCAGGCAGCCTCAGTGAGCCTCGGCCCTCTTCCCTCCCCCACCATCCCCTGCTGCTGCTGCGGCATCACACCCTCTACCTCCCCTTCCTGGGTGGTGGTTTGCATAGGCAGGAGCCAGGATAGGGCTCAGAAACAGCTGAATATTTACCAGGATTGCAGGACACCATGCCCAACTCAGCCCTGGCCCTGGGGTGACTCCATGTCCCAGCAGGGAGGGGCTGACTCCCTCCCCCAGACTCCCTTCCACTCTGTCTGTAATTTAGCCTGTGTGTCTGTCCTTGAGAGAGCCCCGAGAGGTGACAGCCACAGGACACCTCTTACCCCAAGAGGTCAATATTCTCTCCCATTTTCTTCTCTGAGCCTGCTGTCTGCTGGCCCACACTGGAGACAGCCCCCCAAAAATGAAGGAGACTCAAAGAAGAAGAGGAAGACCTGGGCCTGCCCTCAGGGAGCCCCCAGTTCGGTTGGTGATCCCAGTCTCGTCCACTGGGCTGGAGAGAGGGCTCAGGGCTGTGGGTAGCCAGCGCAGGTGGACACAGGGTGTCAGGGGGCTGGAGGGTAGGAATGAGTGAGAAAAGGAGATGTGATCACAAAGTACCGGCACAGGCTGGCCAAGAGGGTGTCATATCGGCAGGACCTCTTTTCTTTCCCCGGCAAGGACGTCAGCCTGGATGGCAGGGTGAATCTGCAGATACAAGGCCCTGACTTCACGTGGGGCTTGTCAAAGTCTCTCCAGAAGTCCTCACAGCAACAGGGGAAAATGAGGCTGAATAGGCAGCTTGCAAGGGGATTCGTGGGGCTGGGGCATCCTGAACGGGCCAAGACAGCTGTTTTCAGTAGCAGACACGAAAGGATTTACACAGCCGCTCCAAATATTTTGAACATTCATTACCTGGTCCTTTTTATTATAGGTTAGACTTTAAAATGTGGGATCCCATTTGGCCAGGCATTCTAAATTACCCTGGATCTCGTACAGCATTTTTCACATTTCATCTCCGAGGGCCCTGAACGCCCCAGGGCCTGGTCGGCGCTGACATTTGTGGCAGGTCTGCATTCCCGGAGCTCGCTGGGCTGGACGCTGCTGACAACAGACGTGTTTACAGCCTGACACGAATCATGAATGATGAAGGCTCCCCGCCCCCGCCACATCTGGATTGAGGAATCATTTTACATAAGCAGGGCTTTCTTTTTCCATTTGTATTCATCGCCAATGAAGTGTTGGAGAAAAATATTTTGAAAACAAAGCATGAACCACCCCAAGCCCCAGACCCCGCCTGCCCTCGCACGAGTATTGTTGTGTGCTTTGCGGTGAACAGTGCGGGCGGGCAGCACAGACGCTGAGCTCAGCAAGCCGTCAGGAGGAAGCAGAGTTCCCCTGATGGCAGGCCCAGTGAGGGTTTGCAGGGTGGGAGGGCAGAACACGGAGAAGATGCAACTTAAAGGGAAAGCTAGAATCTCCTGTCCTCCAGCTACAAAGAGGCAACAGCCCAAGGATAAATATCACGATTAATCACTGTTGATAATTAGTATCAATGTCATTAGCTTTAATGATGGTTAATAATTGACATTGATATGCAATAATAACTATTACTATCTAAATTAGTGATTCTTAACAGGAAGCAATTTTGTTTTCCAGGGAACATTCAGCAATGCCTAGTTTTCATTGTCATAGCCAGGAGTCAGGAGTGGGGAGGAAGCGTGGCAAGGTGCTATAGTATGTAATGGATGGGAACCAGGGATGCTGATGAACATCCTACAGTGCACAGGTATGCCCCACAGCCATATAAAGAACTATCCAGCCCCAAAGGTCAATAAGACTAAGTTTGAGAAACCCTGTTCCAAAATCCTGTTCATGTTCCCCGAGGATCCCCCAGCCTCACTGTCTCTTCTGAATAGGCCAGGGCCACTGAACTCGCATCTCTCGTTATCTCTGCATCTACTCAGGGTTCAAATTCTGTCTCTACCACTTGCCAGCTGTGTGACCTTGGGCAAGTTATTTAACCTTTCTAAACCTCAATTTCCCCATCTGAAAAATGGGAATGATACCTTCCTTATAGGGTTGATGGGATCAGTAGATAAGGAAAGGCACATAAAGTAGCTCATACAGAGCCTAGCTCACAGTGGACTGTCATCAACGATAGCATGCAACAAGGAAAGACTGTTAGCAGATAAGGTTAGAACAATCAATTCTTTGTATGGAAAAAGAAGATTAGCTCACATTTACGAAATATAAATTCTAGAAGATTTACAGCCCTATAAAACAATAATGGAAATTGGTTTTATGACCTTAGAAGAAAGGAGACTTTCTTATATAAAAAATAAAAACCATTAAGAAAAGATTAATGTTTGTTCACATCAACATTAAAAAAAAAATGTACATTCAAGAAAGGATACCATAGATAAAACTACAAGCAAGTTATAGACTGAAAAAACATCTATGACCAATTATGACAATAAACACATGGTATCAAAAATATGTTTTAAAAATACCTACAAGTCAATAATAAAACACAATAAAAAGGTGAGCAAAGGATATAAATAGGCAATTCAGAAAATAAGTGAAATACAGGACCAATAAACAGATGAAGAAATGCTCGTCACCAATACTCAAGAAAATGAAAATGAAAGAGAGAAAAGAGCCTACCACATTGCCTAAAATATTAACGTCTGATAGTATGTTTGGAAAATACTGTGAGGAAATAGTGTTTTTATACTGTGCATATTGGAGTGAATACCGGTACACCCACTTTGAAAAGCAATTTGATGTGATCTATTGAATCTATATATGAACATACCCATAAACCACAAGTTCCATTTTTGGATATTTGCCCCAGAGGGCAATATTGTTTATAATATGTAGTAAAAACCAGAAAACAACACAAATGTCCAACGATAATGGAACAGCTAAATAAAATGTGATATATGCATACAATGGAATACAATAGAGGATTAAAAGGATGAACCAAATCTATCCGTATCAACGTGGAGAGATTTCAAAAAAATGTATTTGAGGAACTTCTGCTTCCAGCCAACAGAGCAACAGGGAACCCACTTACTCTCCTCCTGCCTTAAAAACAAGAAATCCAAATAAAATACACAAAATAGTTTTTTGTATGTTATTTTTTTTAATTTTTAATTAATTTGTTTTTTATTGCAGTAACATTGGTTTATAACATTGTATAAATTTCAGGTGTACATCATTATACTTCTATTTCTGCATAGATTACATCATGTTCACCATCCAAATACTAATAACAATCCATGACCACACACATGTGCCTAATCATCCCTTTTGCCCTCCTCCCTACCCCCTCTGGTAACCACCAATCCAATCTCTGTCTCTATGTGTTTGTTTGTTGTTATTTTTATCTTCTACTTATGAGTGAGATCATATGGTATTTGACCTTCTCCCTCTGACTTATTTCACTTAACATAATATTCTCAATGTCCATCCATGTTGTCACAAATGGCTGGATTTCATCATTTCTTATGGCTGAGTAGTATTCCATTGTGTATATATACCACATTTTCTTCATGCATTCGTCCCTTGATGGGCACTTAGGTTGCTTCCAAGTCTTGGCTATTGTGAGTAACACTGCAATGAACACCGGGGTGCATGTATCTTTACACATTGGTGTTTTCCTGTTCTTTGGATAAATACCCAGCAGTGGAATAGCTGGATCATATGGTAGTTTTATCCTTAATTTTCTGAGGCATCTCCATACTGTTCTCCATAGTGGCTGCACCAGTGTGCACTCCCACCAGCATCATACGAGAGTTCCCTTCTCCCCACATCCTCTCCAACACTTGTTGTTTCCTGTCTTGTTAATTATAGCCATTCTGACTAGCGTGAGGTGATATCTCATTGTAATTTTTGTATGAGTTTTAATAGATGAAGGAAAAAAACTACATGATCATCTCAATTGATGTAGAAGAAGCATTTGACAAAATCTAGCACCGCTTCAAGACAAAAACACTCAATACTCTAAGAATAGAAGGGACCTTCTCTGACATGATAAAGGCCATATGTGAAAAACCCTCAGTGAACATTATACTCAAGGGTGAAAAGACTGAAAGCATTTTCCCTGAGATGAGGAACGAGACAGGATATCTGCATTCTCCCCTTCTATTCAACGTAGTACTGGAAGATCTAGCCAGAGTAATTAGGCAAGAAAAAGAAATAAAAGGCACCCAAACTGGAAAAGAAAAAATAAAATTCTCTCTGTTCACAGATGACGTGATCTTAAATGTAGAAAATCCCAGAGAATCCACACACACAAAAAAAGGTGAATAAACAAATTCAATAAAGTTGTAGAATACAAAATCAACATGCAAAAATCAGTTGTTTTTCTATACACTAACAATGAACAATCTGAAAGGGAGATTAAGAAAACCATTCCATTTACAATAACATCAAAAAGAAATACATATATATATCTCTACAGTAATCATGACAGTGTGATGTTGGCAAAAGGATAGACATACGGAACAAGGAAACAAGATAGAGAGCTCAGAAATAGACCCACACAAATATAGTCAGCTGGTTTTTTTATAAAGGTGCAAAGGCAATTCAATGGAAAAAAAACAGTCTTCAACAAACAGTGCTGAAATAATTGAATATCGACACGCAAAAGAAAAAAAATGAAGCTTCAACACATTCCTCACCACTTATACAAGCTAGCTCAAATAGAATCATAGACCTAAATTTATACATAAATAATAAATCACCTGGAAGAAACATATGGGAAAATTTTGCATGTCCTTGGGTTTGGGAAAGACTTGTTTGATATGATACAAAGAGCACAAACCATAAGAGAGAAAACCTGGTAAATTAGACTTTATCAAAATTAAAAATTTTTGCTCTGCAAAGAGGTTAAAAAGACAAGCCAGAGACTGGGAGAAAATATTTGCAAATCACATATCTGATAAAGGGCTTGTATCTACGATATACAGTCATGCATTGCTTAATGACAGGGATACATTCTGAGAAATGCATCTTTAGGTTATTTCATTGTTGTGTGAACATCATAAAGTATACTTA